AAACCGTTCAATCGTCGAAACGATCAAGGCGTTACCTTCAAATCGTAAGTCGTTAAAGCTTGTGGTGCATCGTCGGGTCATGGCCGTTAGTTGCATAGTAACCCCTCGAGCGATCATGCCCTGTATCTACCTAGAAAGTACTAGTACGTAAGGGAGTAGGATAAGACGGTGCGATCGCCTCTAGCTATTCATCCGAGCGTTGATAAAAGTGCTCCAAGAAACTATCTTTTATGCTCCACTTTCTGAAAGCAAGTCCAATCTATTTTTATGGTTATCGCATCGTAAATAATTTTCCTTTCGGATAATGGACCGAGATTAATTAAACAATCGTTGTTTATAACATTATTTTGTTATGCAATAATAGGCATAGTGCATTTGGAATTAGAGAAGTAAATTGATTGCATGTTAATCGAGAGCGTAGAATTTTTTTTTATATCATAAGGTGGCAAACGAGCGAGTGGCCACCTGAAATCGCTGAAATAGCGAAGTGACTGTTGCCCATAGACATACGCAATTGCATATGCGTTGCCAAAGAATATTTTTGCGCCTTGATATATGATGAGTAAGTAATTTAATAAGGAAATATTTGATTGATTTTTGAGTAATGAAACAAATTTCGTTTATCACAAATATTCCTTAAAATTTGATAACGTACAAGAAGGAAAGGGAAATGACACGCTATTAGATTAGTGGTTGACCTCCTTAAAGAATCATTAGAATTTCAAATTAGTTTATTTTGGTTTATGTGTTGTTCTTGTTTATTATGCATGACATCGTCTTACGTGTTTTAACGCCATTAAGCGTTATTACTTTGTGTTTAATTTTATTAGATCAGGATTTCCAACACGATAAGCCGTTTATTAAGCTTTTCATTTAATAAAAAATTATATGTTAGTTGTTTCGTATCTTCCATTTGTAAAAAACGGAAATAAAAGGTAAATAAACAAGATAGGGTTAAGGCAAAATTGCATAAAGTAAAAATAGAAATATTATTTTTTACCATGCACCGCAAAATAGTCAATCTTACTAAAATGCGAACGTTTGATGTTTGTTAGAAGGCTAACTACAGAACGTTTCCATGGACATCGATGAAATTTGAGATGTAGACGTAGAAAAAAGTCTGGAAGAACACATAGTCTAATGTAGTTTTTTTTTAATTCTGCACGAACGGAATCGCGGATGTCAGCGACTTATTTTATGAAATAATAAAAGTAAGAAAAATATAATATATGTATATGTAAGAGATAGATAAACCCAATAATAAATATAAGTTTGTAGTGTTGAAGTTGTGATGTGTGAACAATTACAAAACATTTGTGTAAACCTCTCACGATTCTGCAAAGGAAATGCGTTAGTGGAAAGCCAGGACGGTAAATATCAGCTGTTTATAGCCGTGTCAGCCCCGCGAAGCGTACTTTGAATTATTAATTCCTAGGCCTGTGTCCTAGGACACAGTTCTATGCCTAGACCTAGAATTGACTCATGTTAAAAGTTATTTAGACAATTTTTTTTTATTTCACTTGTACATATTTACTTTTTGAATTAACAAAAATACAATACAAACAATTTTATCTTATTATTTAAGAAATAATATCGATAGTATTGTAAATTTCATGAATGATAACAATTATTGCACTTTCGCGCGCATTCCATCAGCAAAATATGACGTCACTTGCACAACGGACTTGCTTATTTACGGGTCGCGTTTGCCTTTCAGTGAATGTCAGACGAAAATCGTTGAACATCAAAGAGACGTTTATGTATCGCATTTCGAAATAAAACACGCATCACTAGCGAACACCGACGCTGACGCCGACGCCGGCATCAAGCGGTGCAGATCGCATCGGCGCACATCCGCCGACTGCGCCCACAAGCCACAGAGTAAATAGAACAGTAGGTCAACGCCGGATGAAAAACATAACAACACTAACAAATTGTATCATTACGAGTTCAATAAGATTCAATTGTTTATCTGATAGTAACTTTAAAATTAAAACATGTAAGTAGAAAGTATTGTTTTTTAAACTACATAATGTTAGAAAAAAAACACCGAAAATGTGGCAGTGTATTGACCCAACACGTCGACGTTTGTGATCCCTCACTATTCATTCTGACACTGGACTTGGTAACGAAAACACATCATTCGCGCCAAAGGATTCTAATTAATAATAAAGAATAAAGAGGAATACGTAAATGTTTACAATCGGTCGTGAAACGTGCAACAAACTCCATAAATACTAGTGAAATTATTAAAATGAACAGAAATTGTATTATATAAAGCATAAGTAGTTAGTGAGTTATTTTAACTAGAACAAAATTACAGTGATTACCGATAATTAACAAATACCACGTAGGAAACCGGTTAATTGATGCAAAATAGTATAAAATAAAGTGCAAATCTGATAGGAAACCTGCATAGGCGAGTTTGAGTATCGCTAATGACTACAAAGTACACGCTAGAAAAAGGTGTGACTATAAGAATAAAATCTATGTAAATAAATTACTATTGCAAGAATAACTTTTAAAAATCACTTTATATTATATTTAAATCACTACTTTGTTTACAGAAAATGAACAATAACTATCCGTTATATTAGGACGTTAGGGGAGGCGAAGCGGGGATTTTGGGATTTATCGAACATGGGAGTTAAATTTCCCGAAAGTTCCCCATCACACACAGGACTCTCTTTAAGGCAGCTGTTTAAGGACACTAAATTAAAAAAAGCTCCAGCTCGACCATTTGAGACATTGTTAGCTATATGCAGAAAAGTCAACAATGCATGATGGAAGTACTTGATTGGATACAACGTTCCCCTGTAACGTTTAACCGCCTCGTTCGACTAAATCCCAGAATTCCCGCTTCGCCCCTCTGATATATGTTTGTACGAAACTAAGATTAATTAAGATCTGGTAATTCTGCTATATCTTGACAAACCGGGTCTCCTACAATGGCGTGTGTAGGAGTCCATTTTGATCGACGCCACTGGTCGTAACGTTTTTATACACTAGCTTTAAAAGCCCACATCAATTTGTTAAATGGTCTTAATTAATCTTGCTATGAATCATTTAGTTTTTGTAAATAAACTTTGAGGAACTTTAAGATATAGTTAAGTTTTCGACTAACGAAAATAATCTAATATAGAAATATAGAGAATTTTTTTTTCTTTTTTTTACCACAAAATTGACTCAAATAAATTCTTGCAATTCCTAATTTTTTCTTACCAATATAAGTAATAATCCTGAATATAAAATCACTTTCAATAAAGACGTACCACGACTGAAAATTTTAATCGTCGTCGAATGAAACGTTTTAAATGCACAATTACATCACGTTCTTTTATTCGACATTTCGAAGAAAGTCTGAATCCTTGCAAAAAGGTATTCGTTGACCTTAGTTTCGACGATTAAAGGAAGCATGAACGTTTAAGCCCTTTTTCGAATGAAGCACCTAATACATTTAAGTTAAAACTTAAAAAAAAAAACATTGTTTTGTCACCACAACCATTTCTACAAAATAAACAAATTGCAACCTACCTTTGCTTTGCTTCACAAATGAAGACATAAATCATGTTTAAAAATGCTATTAAGGTAATTTATCTCCTGAAAATAATAAGTTAATAAAAAAAAAGATTTGATTTCACTTTCGGTAATATTAATTACCTAATTAATTACCGCGTGACGTTAATTTTAATTACAGCGTTATTACAGATTACCATTAAAGTAGCGTACAACAATGCGAAGTATACTCTGTGGTAAAGCAATAAGCGGATTGTTAATATAATATCGTAACTAATTGACGTATCAATCAAGCGATGCTTGGAGTTGTTAAAATGCTTCAAATATGGCTGCCGTCGCTACCGATTCGCCCGCGGCGCCCCTCTCTCACATATAATTAACCTTCCTGCATTTAGCATATTATTACAACTGCGAATCGACAATTATTTTTCCATTATAACTTTGTCTGAGCGTCGGTGGCTCAGTGGTCAAGCACTTGACTTGCAATCTGCAGGTCCTGGGTTCGAATCCCGCCATTTACCAATGTGTTTTTCGATTTTCGATTTACATATGTACATGTACATCGTGATGCAACCTGCACATATCTGAGAAGAAATTCAAAGATATGTGTGAAGTCAACCAACCCGCACTTGGCCAGCGTGGTTGACTATGGCCTAGTCACCCTTAACTTAGTGTAGGCTTCGAGCCCCTCGGTGGGGACGTATAGTGAGATGATGATGATATAACTTTGTCTTATCTCGTTTGCGTTTTTTTATACTTCGATTGTTTAATTGTGAGTAAAATGTTAAGTTTTGGGGTGCATATGCAACACAAATACTAGAGACATTGTATTGTCTTGTCTTATATATAGCCTTTATTGCTTTACACCTTCTTTAAAATTTATGATAATTAATTATACATGCCTATTTACTAAAAATAAATTAATTTAATCAATTCCACTTGTATTTAAATGATCGGCAACTTGTTGTTTGTATTGAAAAGCTTGTCAATTGACAAAGGCCTCCTCTAAAGATTTCCAAGTATTCCTGTCTCTTGCTTTGTCTTGTATTTAAAGTTTTCAAAATACTTTCCGCTAAAAAATAATACAAAATACTAAAAAAAACTACCGAATATTCCACACTAAAAATATACTCACGTCACTTTGTACGCATCATCACTTAACACTAACCAAAAAAGTTTAACTACATTTTCAAAATGATTCATACGTTACTAAAAATACGAAAAACTTGTATATAACATTTTATTATTATGTTTTTACTACAGAAAAGAAATTAAGGTTCAATAATTTTCAATTCCAATACAGTAATAATTAAATTATTATAATTTATTAATTTAATTTTATGGACAACTACTGGCTGAACATGATTGTTCTCACGACAGTCAAATAAAAAAAACAAACAGTGCGGACAGGTTCATTGACCCTCGAAGAGGCATCCTTTCGGTACCCTTGATTGTTGCATTAAAAAAACAAATGCTTGTTTCAGGTATAGTGTTATTTTGACGATCGCAACAACAGCTTCCGACGGATTCACCTTGATAAACGGTCAGTAATCTTTTTTTTTACTTTATAAACATTCAACAACCACTTTATGTTTTATACAGAGGTAATTATATTTCATTGCAATATAATGACTTCAGTTTTGTAACAATTATTTAAAGAATTTATTTTTATTAACGATAAATACTTTAATTGACGGATACTCTATCCGCGCGATTTAAAAAAAAACGTAATTAGTAGCCTATGAGTTCTTCCAGGCTATGTTCTAGAGAGATCTATGCAGCTATTCTGAAGATACCTTCTAAGAAACCATCCATCCATCCATACATCCAAATACTCGCAATTATAATATTAGCAAGATAAATTAACGCTTGAACATAATCCTTCTACCTGATGATTTGTTCGAAAGATGGTACGCTAACGACGAAACGTTTTATGGTGCACGTTAATCTATAATATATGTACTGGTACCCTTTTTTGCTAAAAGATAGAGTTGTTTATGTTAAAAAAACCGTATCATTAGGACCATGCAGAAAGAGATGATCTATTACTTTTCCCGTATTATAAATACATTGCCTGCGTTCAGGCTTCTTAAAGCTATTAGGTAAAGAAGGATTAACTTGCGAACGTCCGTTTTTAATAGGATTCTGTTTATACCCGATGGACGGTGCATTGCGCTTTTCACAGATAATATACCATGTAAGGATGTAACACATCACAGAATATGATGTTACATGATTATAGGTTATAATCTTTATATATATAATTCTTCTGTGAGTGTGTATGTCACTGAACTTCTCTCAAACGACTGGACCGATTTTGATGAAAATTTTTGTGCGTGTTCAAGGGGATCTGGGAATGGTTTAGATTCACAATTTTCATCAAATATTAACTTCATATTAATTTATTCAAATTGAAGACGTGTAGACAGGACAACGTCTGTATGGTCCGCTAGTATATTCATAAGTTTTAATATAAATACGAATTATATTACTTTCAAAATTCTTTGAATGGTAAACAGTCAGTAAATATCTGTCTTACTTAATCTACATTAAGGGAATCCCTTAATAACCACACCACTCTGGAAATCTCGTCTACAGAAGACAGTGTTTAAAATTAGTAGTCTTAATATTTGATAAACTTTATAAAAAGACAACGTATAAAAAACAAATTTAAAAGTCTATGAAACATATTCACCTAAGTATTATGTCTATGTCTGTATACCTAATGTTTTTTTTTATAATTCATTCAATTTATAACCTTGAAACTTAATTTATTTTTATGAGGTTTTACCATATAGGGAGAGTTTCAAGACAGGCCTAATTATGTTAATGAGAAAACCAGTTTCTTTTATTCAATCGACTGATAAGTTAGAGTATTTTTATAAAAAAGTAATATTATAATTGGTATTTAATAATACGTTCATCATCATCATCATCAGCTCACTATACGTCCCCACCGAGGGGCTCGGAGCCTACCCTAAGATACGGGTGAATAATACGTTACTTCAGAAAATACTTCTTTTTGGGAAAATAAATGGAAACAAGTTTTTTTTTCCCAAAAATATATATTTATTGTTACTAAACTATAAAAAGTAGAATTAAAAAAGAAATAGGCAATTTTTAAATAATCACTATGCGATATTAAAAATCAGACTGGCAATACTGCACCAAAAACAATGGCACATATTTGTTCAACCCAGATCAATGTGTTACTAATAAAAATAAAAAAAAATGCTATACAGCAGCACCAGTCATAAAGTCAATGACATACGCATTTTGAGTTTAGGATTCTTTAATTCAATAATGATTCGAAAACATTTGATGTATTGACTTCCACTTATTAGTCTAGACTAGACACAGTGCAGTAAAAAGTTTTTAAAAACATTTTAATGTCGATTTAACGTATTATAAATAAGGTATAAAAAATTAATAGTTTTCTTTTTCTCGAGATATTAAATACTTTTTCTTCAATATCTACCTTTTTGCTTTAGTATTAATTACATTAAATATTTTAAAAAAAACTTTTTTTACAAAATGTTGGAACATTATTATTTTCATTTACTCTAAATGATCACGATTTCATGATGGAGTTATTAAAATATCATATTAATGTTTATATGAAAAATTTGCATTTTTATTTTAAACTAAGAACTTGAATATTATTTTGGACAATATTTATTTGTTGCAGAGTTTATTATATTATCTCGATTCATTTTTAAAACAACTACTAAAGTAACAGTAGAACAATAATAAAATAGAACAAGTAGAAACAAAAGCAAGTTACGATTATTTTTGAAAAAATTAAAGAAGAACTAAACTATGTTTTGATTGGTGGGAATATTTAAAAGCTGTAATTTACGACTTTGGCGTGACTAAAAATTTGGGTATTCTCAAGACTAACCGTACTTTCCATGTATCAGGAAAAGTCACTACGCAGAACTGTTATTGTTGAACTGTTTATTATTCGTGGATTTCCGAGACCATAATTTAAAACATTGTTATCTCTGTTTTGTCAAAGATAATGACAGAGATGCAATTATCAAATTATACGTACATTCGGTTTCTGTTTAGTTCATGTGGTTTTGTTTCTTAAATATTAAAAATAAAAAAATATTGCAAACGTTTCGCAGCCAGATTTTTATACACTATAATGCGATAGGGTTGACGATACTGTTTAAGTCTGTACGTTTATGAAAAAAAATCTGTAACGATTTAAAAATTAAAGATACAGATTAAATTCAAGAAAACTAAAACTCACAATTAGAAGTAAATAATGTCTCATATTTATTCCTTGTTACCCAGAATACATTGAAAGAATTTCCAACATTGAAATAATTTTTCCTTTTTATAATGAATATTTTTTTTTACTTACATTGCGTTTAAAATAAGTTATATGTGTGGATCTGTTACTTTAAATTTAGTATCGCTTTTAATAGGTATGCACATTTTACAAATTTGTGTATGTGGCAACCCTAGTTAGCGGGGACGCGCAAGGGCACCGAATGTCAGCGGGTCGATTCTCTCGCACTTTACTTGCCTAATTGCAAACTAATCATATGAAAATAACTCTGCAGGCTTCGCAGTTTACTCATACATTTGTGTTGAGGAAAAATACTAAGAAATCGAAGCAAAGTAAACCATAACTGTTTTTGTCTGGTAGTGACATTTGACAGTTAACGTCATCCCTCAAATTCTCTTTGAATAAGGCAACAACATTATTTGTCTACAAGTGTCACGACAGACGAAATTAACTATCAGATTCATAAGCTCTAACATACGTCTATTGTTTAAGGCACGGTAACATTTTTCGCACTTGTAAAAAAATTCTAAGTAAGAAAATAAAAGGTAACAACAGTAAGTAGCTTTTTGGCAATCAAAATTATTAACTACAAAGTTAGCCGTTTTATTAGACTTTAAAATTAATACCAAGCATTTTTTTACTTTATTAAACGACGTTTCAAGATTAATAAGAATAAATTCTTGTCTGAGAATTCTAACACGTCTATGATTTATTAAATAGCTTAAAAGAAACTTGCTCGCTAAAATGAAAACATAATTAACGCTATTATGATAATAAAGTACTCAATCTTAATTGTAATCTGGCTCGAGTGCGCGACGCGAAAGAGGCTAGATGTTAATATCACAAATGGCAAAAAGTTCTAGGAACAGATTCGTCTTAATTATTATATCACGTCTGTTAACTATGTGTTAAAAGAGCTTGGATTATAGAAACACATATATTAATATTATCTTTAACTATATCTGGGAAGCAACCCAGATTTTTTGGTAGATTTTTGTACGAAAATGAATTCGGAATACAGGTTAGGTTGGTCAAACAAAATGTATGCATTGTTTTGAAATTTAAAAATCTTACTAGTATTATAAATACGAATGTTTAGATGGATATAGGTTTGTTTGAAGCTATCTCCAGAACAGCTGAATGAATCTCGATGAAATTTGGCATACATATAGAACATAGTATGGAAACACATAGGCTACTACTTTTTCACATGTCAACTTCTCGATTCAGTTACAATATTAAGATAATTTAATCATTTAAAACATTAAAAAATCTCATGGTCGAAATTAAACAGGATAGAATTTTTTAATGTCAACCAAAGGTTGGAAAAATAAAACACTCTTAAACATCGAGATGATACAAATTTAGTATATTTGGATCCTCAACCTGAACCTCGGTAAAAGATAAGATATCGATATCTTGTCATCGGGTATGTGTGCTCGTACGTTACCCTTAAAAATAATAATAAAAAGACTCAAACTGTGGAGGTAATAAGGTAATAAAATATTTTAATTTAATCGATTCGATCCTCTAAAATCGTAACTTGATAACTCTTCAAACCATTAAATAAAACACGACAGCAAAAGTGCATTGGATCTAAAAAAAAAGTAGTTTTCCGAACGTCAAATTAGATTTCGACATGTCATTGTCAAATACAGGCGCGTTAGTCAATTTGCGCATCAGACGGGGACATTTTCACGCGTGCGTTTCGGGTGGCGTTTGGGAGGGTACTCGTAGCGGAGGCGTCAAGGTCACCGGTGACGTCACCCCTCGAACAATGACCTCTTGAAAATGAGGCGGCCCGCACCGCGCCGCACCGTGCCGATTGTGTCGGCTCTCTGTATCAAGCGCTGATTTTGTGTTGACACTGAACTCCACGGACTTTTCAATACTCGGGTCGGAACTAATTTACGGTCTCAACGAAATCGATTATTACCCATAATTGAAATTTATTTGAAGCTTCGAAGTGCTTATTTTGTTTTTCTAATTGAATTCCAAAGCTTAATTTATATAGGTACAATGTTTTCATGATTTTTTTATTTTATTAAGGAATTTTGCATGAAAATAACAATAAACACGATATTATACAACTATAGATTTTAAAGAGAAAATAATTACTCAAAAATAATAGAGTAAAGAAACCCTTATTGAAACACGCTTTTATGTTCGTATTTTTATTTTATCTTTCAAAATTTTTATACGAATACAAACCGTAATACGGCTAAAATAAATCTCATATTTCC